GTTCCCCTCCGCGGCACCCCCTCACTTGGCTCCCCCGTTGCCTCCCTCAGGGCCCGCCGCGCTGCTCCTCCCTGCAGGCGCCCATCATGCTGCTGTCGGGGCACGAAGGGGAGGTGTACTGCTGCAAGTTCCACCCCAACGGCAACACCCTCGCCTCTGCCGGCTTCGACAGGCTCATCCGTGAGTGCCGGGCACCACCGTCTCACCATCACCACTATCTCGGGCTCATGCGGTCTGTGCTGGGGTTTTATCTCAGCCTTCGAGCTTGCTGGGTCCTGAGAGTGAAGGGCTTCGGTGGGAGGGGAGCAAGAAACGACTTCCAGCGCCTCTGGCAGCTCCCTGCCCTCCTGGCTCTCTGCTGGGCTGGTAACGTGCCCTGGTCGTCACAGCCCTGTGATCCCTCGTGCAGGTTACAGTCAGTCTGCCTTTGCCCGCAGCAATGCGGTTTTTAATGCTTTGACTTGTTGAGGTGAAGATTATTATTTTTCTTAATAAATTCAACTTGATCTAAAGCCATAAATTGGCTCAAACCAGCTGTGTGTCCTTCCGGGGCTCACACGATGCGTCTTTGTGGCCGCACATCAGCCAAGCTCGGAGATGACAGTGGTGGTGGTACACAGATTGTTTTGCTGAATGCCTGGAGAGCTGCTCCGTTTACAGCTCTCAGGTATTTCTGTGTTTCACGTACTTACCTCTGCCATCCTTTCTCCCAGTGCTGTGGAACGTCTACGGGGACTGCGATAACTACGCCACCCTGAAGGGACACAGCGGGGCGGTCATGGAGCTGCACTATAACACAGATGGCAGGTGAGTGGCGTGCAGACGGCTCTTGGCCTTGGGAAGGGCTTTTCCTGAAAGGAGGGGCTTTGTGCTCACCAGAGTCCCTCAGCACCTCGACATCGCCCCTGCTCAGGCCATGCATGGCAAATTCTTGTGTGGCTTTCCCAGATAAGGAGTGGTGCCTGCTTGAATCGTAGAATCACAGAATCATCAGGACCTCTAAGCTCATCAGGTCCAACCATCAACCCAACCCCACCATGCCCACTAAACCGTGTCCCCAAGTGCCACATCCAGGTGCTTCTTGAACCCCTCCAGGGATGGGGACTCCACCACTGCCCTGGGCAGCCCCTGCCAGTGCTTGACCACTCTTGCAGTGAAGAAATTTTTCCTAATGTCCAATCTAACCCCTCCCTGGCGCAACTTGAGGCCATTTTCCCTTGTTCTGTCATTTGTTACATGGGAGAAGAGACCAACATCCACCTCACTACAACTGCATTTCGGGAATTTGTAGAGAGTGATAAGGTTTGAGACCAAACAAAGGTTCTGGGCTCACCTGTAACCGACCAGTACCCTTGGTTTCCTGAGGAGCAGAGGGAATCAGTGTCAGTCTTCTGGGAGAGACTGGGGAGAGAAAGAAAACAAGTGAGATAATCGCTAATTTAAAAGGCTGTTGAGCTCTTGCATCTGGGCCACTGCTGCTGAGCTTTTCTTCCTGTGGTCATCTCAAATAGTGTCTGAGGAGGTGGAAGACCAATGTATATGTATTTAGAAATGGGGTTACTGGGAGTGCCTCCAGTCAGCCTCCTCTGAAACACCACCCTCATCTTGGCCTATGGGGGAAATTCTTCTCCGCGGTGCACTCCCACTGCATGTTTCAAGTATTGATTGAAGAACTTAAGAGTAAAAAAGCTAGGAGGGGAGAAATGTTTCCAAAACCGAGAACTCGATGGTTTTTCCCTGCAGCATGCTGTTCTCAGCATCCACAGACAAAACTGTGGCTGTGTGGGACAGTGAGACTGGCGAGAGGGTGAAGAGGCTGAAGGGCCACACCTCGTTCGTGAACTCCTGTTACCCGGCGAGGCGAGGACCCCAGCTCGTCTGTACAGGCAGCGATGATGGGACAGTGAAGGTCAGTGTGCTGTGTGAGGAGAGGGCCTGGAGTGCACGCGTGATAGGATCTCTGACAGAATTTGGGGGTCTTCCCATTTAAGTGGGTTAAATTCAGCCTTTTGTTACTCTTTTAATTTTATTATCTGATAACTTTGATTTAGAAATGTAAAGTTTGGCTGCTCCTTTCTTTCTGTAATTCTGTAATTCATCTGCTCAGTTGTACTTTTTCCACTGATCTGCATTAACAAAGCATGAGAAAGGCGAGCCGTTACGGAAATGTCACCCGCTGGCCCCTTCTGCCCTCCTGCGCCCCAGCCACACCAGACTTTTGTTACATTTTGATGGAGAACACTTGAGATCTAAAAGGGAATTTCAGGAGAGTGTTCTGAGTCTCTGCCAAGTATCTGTGCAACTTCCTGTTATTTTAGCATTAAGTATCTCTGTGCAGCTGCCGTATTTCACAAGTGCCGTGTCTTTTCAGCTCTGGGATATCAGGAAAAAAGCTGCTGTCCAGACATTTCAGAACACATACCAGGTCTTGGCTGTAACTTTCAACGACACCAGTGATCAGATCATATCTGGAGGCATCGACAACGATATTAAGGTAGGACAGCGGTGTCCCCGTGTGCCTTTCCAGCCACGCGCACCTTTTCCATCCCGTCACGTCTTGCGTTGGACAAGGACAAATGTGGAAGCCTGCTGGTTAATTTTACAGTCACAAAAACCACGCGGTTGTGCTGTGTCCGACCTCGCTGTTGATATAGGGCCAGTAATCTCAGAGGGAGTTGCTCCAGGGCTGTTTGCCATGTGACAGCCTGGGCAGTCCTGACGTTCCTGGCCAGGCATCCCAGCGCTGCCGTCACCCGCTGGAGCCTGTCGGGAATGCTGGCTCTTCTGGCAGCCTGTGCCCGTCCCGGAGGCTCTAGAGCCATATATGAGGTAAAAGAAAACATGGTGACACATCCACACCCTCTGCCCTCTGCTCCAGTTTGCAACTCAGTCACCTGCTTGTGTGGAAAGTTCTTCTTTAAGAGCAAGCTCAGTGTTTCATTCAGCTGGGCACTGAGATTCTCCCGATAGCTGTATGGTTAGCGTCAGTTTAGCCTCAGGCTCAGCCTTGACCTAGGGGTGGGGTGCACGTCCTTGTCAGAGAGCCATTGCTTAGCGTAGCACTGGGGTGAGATCTGTTCCGACTGCCCCTTTTTGGGAAGGAACAGCATGAAATTTTGGGGATTGGACAACTGCTGCTCTGTGCCGTCAGTCAGTGGAATTTGGGATCTGGGGAGCTGTAGCCACATAGAGAGGGGTTCCTGCACGTGTGGGGCTGCTGGCATTTAACCCCTTCGTGGCTGGGCACGTTTGGTAAGAAGTCTTCTAAGGGGCAAATTCCAGTTTTCCTACAACACACATAAGATTCTAGCCTCATGTTTTAGCCATTCAGACTCCACCAACTGGAATCAAAAGCTGATGTCATCAGCTGACTGCTGAATACTGGTGTGAAACACTTTAGAAACAGCATTCCCAGCAGCCTTGGCTGTGTTTTTGTTCAATGGCAATGTTGTGTCTGAAAGGTGTGGGACCTTCGCCAGAACAAGCTCACTTACACGATGCGAGGACACGCAGACTCGGTGACAGGCCTCAGCCTGAGCTCAGAAGGCTCCTACCTGCTCTCCAATGCCATGGACAACACAGGTACGTCCTGCCTGGTGTGAGAGCCCAGGCGCTGCTCTCTCACGCTAGCTTGGCGTGGCAGTATGAAAGGAACAGCTCAGATTGTCCAGCATAGAAAAACAAGAGCCAGGTGTGGGGGTTGAAAGGGAGTTTGGCTCTGCAGATAAAGCTTGAATTCTTGTTACACCCATGAGAGCCACGTCCTTTGCAGGCAGGGAGCATCTGCATCAGAAGGGTTTGTCACGTCTCCCGAAGGGCAGTGAGGACACAAGCGATGGCACACGTTATTTGCACAGACAGTTGAACGCAGGCTCGGTCTGGCTCTTGTCAGGGCAGTTTGGCTGCTTCCCTGCTGCAGGGGATGACAGCAGAGTTTCCAAACTGCCTGTCTGCTGTGTGGGGGTGCTCAGCGAAGCTGATCGGATGAGAGGCACGATGATGGAGTGCGTTAGAATAAAGCAAATGCTCATGTAAGGAGATGGTGGCTCGTTTGTGTATTAGTTGCTTTAGATTTTTCCCCTCCTGTTGGCATTGGGCTCGGTGTAATTAAAATTCCTGCATTTGACCTTTCATATTAAACCTTTTTGCGGGAGAAAGCTGCTGGTTTCTTTTGCTGCTGAGGAGATCTGGGCATGAAGAGACCAAGGAGCATGGCCAGGTCTTTGCTCGTTAGCAGCAGGTCTTAGAAAAGGGACATTTCCAGAAGCTGACCTTGCCCCCGTGCCTCTGCTGTCTCCAGTTAATTACCATGAGCTCTCTGTTGCAGTTCGCATCTGGGATGTGCGACCGTTTGCCCCTAAAGAGAGATGTGTAAAGATTTTCCAGGGGAATGTGCATAATTTTGAAAAGGTAAGCATACTGCAGACCGAAAGCTTATTGTTTGTAAAATGCTGCTGCTATTAACTTTTCTGTAAATTGTTTTCTAAATTCAAGTTTAAACCAGAAAGGCTTTAATAAGAACTCAGAGAAAGATTAATGCACAAAGTGGGATTCCAATTAAAGCTGCAGTAACAAGATTTCTTTGCTTGCTTCAGCTGTAATTAGCTGTAAATTAAGTATTTTCTACATTTACTATCTACTTTGTGTGAAATAACAAGGCACTGGATGTTTCCAGCAATAAAATAAAATCTGTAATTACCATCTCGTCTTCTGAAGAGAGGCCATTAAAGTGGTGCTCATGATATTTAAAGTCTCGTGGTGATTTTAAGTCAAGTAGAAGGGGAAAACTGAAATCTTTCATTGGAAATAGATCTGTGCATGTTTTGGGTTTTGGTTGTTTTTTTTTTTTAGAATCTCTTGAGGTGCTCTTGGTCCCCGGATGGGAGTAAAATCGCAGGGGGATCGGCCGATAGGTGAGTTACCACTGTGTTCATCTGCCACCAACAGTTTTGCAAGAGCTGGATCACATCTGAAACGAACCTGAAGACTCAGAGTTGTGTGTAGATGTGTGAAGACCCAAACACCCCCCTTCTGTGAGCGTTGTCTGCCCTGATTGCAATAGCGATGTCTTTTTATTGCCTTTGTGCCAGTGGAGGAGCAGAGTACAGTTGTAGAATCTTACTGTTATTGTCAGAAGCTGACCAGAGATCTGCGTTACTGCTTGTGTTCAACCACAAGATCCAACACTAGGACCAGCAGATGGTGGGAGCGTGGCTGTTGGTGGTTAGGTCCCTGCAGTCACATCAGCAGGTGCTTGTGAGAGTTTTCAATACGCAGGGGGCCTGGGAAATGCCTGTAGTGAGGGGTTATACTGATAAGGATCACAAATAACAGTTCAGGTGCTGTGTGGTGCTTTGCAGGATGCACCAGTGGTGTTCTAAGGATCATTCTTGATCCTTACTTTAATTAATGAGTAAGAAATAAAGTTCTGACTAAATTAGCACCTATTGGACTTTTAAATTAGATCTCCTATGGACTAAGGCAACCGAGGAGCAAAATGTGTAGGGGAGGAGGCAGGAGAGGGTCTGTGCCAGACACTGAAGGTCGCCGTGAAGGATACCAACCGCTGCTGGACCAAGTCCAGAGGCACTCTCAGTGACATCAAGACAGGAATTCCTGCAGGCTGGAGTCCAGGGCATGGAGCAGTAGTAACCACCAAATTAACGAGTTTCTGATAGAGGATAGGGAGAACTTCAGCTCTCACTGCCCAGATATAGCGGGGCCAGCTGTCCCAGCAAGCGGCCAAGATGTGTCTCTCCTTTCCAGTCCTGCTGGGCAGTAACAGTGGTGCATGTGGGGGAGGAATGGCTCCAGGAATGCCTCTGCTGGCTGCGAGTCTGAGGCCATGGGCTTGGTCCTGCAGATGCTGATGTAGCTCTGTGGTCTGACAGCGGCTTTGTTGGGACATGGTGGGGAAAAGCACACAGCCAAGTCCCGGGGCAGGTTAGACAAGGCTTTTGGGAAAGCAGAGCAAGATTAAACAAACTTTTCATTTGTCTGAGCACAGAACAGTCCCCCAATGATTCCCCTCTCCTTCTGCATACGTGGAGTGCTGTGTGTGTTGGAGGGACAGTTACCTGAATGGGTTTTTTTGCTGTTGAACCCTTAGGAAGGGTTGTTGTAAAATCAGCTACTTAAAGTGCTTGTCTGCTTTGCAATACCAAATTAAAAACACAGCAGCACACTGCCCTGAGAAAGCACTTGATACAACTCTTGTCCGCTAGATAAAATAGTTGCACTTGAAGAAGTGCTGCTTTAAGTAACATTTGTGGCTTAAGTTGCAGACTTGAGTTTTTCCCTTTTATGTGTTTAAAGAAAATATGTCAGAGAATAGCACCAGCCTGAAAATGAATGCTCCAAACAAAGCAGATCTGCCCTGCGCTGGTATCAAATGCCCCTCTTTGCCTAGCCAGCAAGTGTTATAAATGGTTCAGTGCTTTTTTGGGGGAGGAAGGAAGCTCGCTTCTATTTCAGCTAAAAGACAGGCTGTAATTGTAAAAGCAAATCTTGTTCTTCACCCAGTCTGCAAAGCCCTGATGAATGGAGAGGAGCAGGTGAAGCTGAGGAACCCATTGGTGGTTGTGTTGCAAAGCCTGAAATAGTTCAGCCGTGGTATTCAGAGGCTGGGCTGCGTGCAGGGCTGTTGATGCCCAACGTGTTTGAATTCGTGCAGGCGAGATGTGGGGATGCACAGTTGCATTTGCAGCCACCCTCCTTTGGAGAAGTGTGATGCAGTAGATTGCTTTTACACGTGTTTACCAGGCTGTTCCCCATGCCCCCACCCTCTGCAGTGCCCTGCAAACAGCCGTAGTGGTGCCTCTGGGGTGTGCAGGCAGCGGAGCTGCTCTTCACACCAAACGCGGCCAATTACTGCCCTGCCACTTCCCTTTTCTGCCCTGGCAGATTTAATTTCAGCTGCCAGTCACCTCCCTAAAGAGCAAAATGAGAAGGCAGAGTGTAATCCAGAACTGGCAGCTTTCCCCAGCCACTGATTTTTTTGCAGAGCTATGAACCTTGTAACAAATGCCGTTTCATGTGGCGAGGCCGTGTCTTTGGAAGGGAGGGATGCAGTTCCTGGTGGGCTGCAGCATCGCCTTGCTTGGGTTATAGGATGCTGCTCGGGGCTCTTCTTATTTTGATATTTTAAAAAAATCCTTCCCACTCCTATGGATGCTCGCCATAACCAGGGGCAAAGCATTGCTCTGCTTCCCAGAGCAACGTGGAGTGACCACACCATGCAGGCAGCAGTCGACACCCATGAGGGACAAGCAGTGATCTTGGGTACACTGTGATTCACAGCACGGCACCATTTTCCCCACCTCAGACCATTTATAAGAGCAATCCAAAAGCTGATCCATGCCTGGTGCCAGCAGTTTCTTGCTGCCCTCCAGCCTGAAGGATCCCGGTGGCTTTGGCACTGCCCTTGGGCCAAGGTGTGGTGCTTGGGCAGGACTCAGCAGTGTGGGAGCCTGAGGTGAGGCCTGCGGGAGGTTAACCAGAGGGCTCAGCGCAGTCTGATCAGCCCCCTAAGAAATGCTGGGATGTAAATTGTGACTTTAATGGCGCAGCAGGAAGAAATCCAGAGATGCAGCTGTTGGCTGTGAGAGATTACACTGTAGAGGGGCTGGAGGGGCACCCAGGCTTCCTCCTCCCTGCTTGCCAGCCAGCCCAAACAAAGGGTGATGCTGGGCTTGCAGGCAGATATTTGTGAGAGTGAGAACCCTCCTCCCCAATCCCAATTCTAATTTTCTCCCTTAGCCCACTGTGCTGCTGCTACAAAGAGGGGCTCTATAGCTTCATGCTTTCAAATTCATCTCCATGCCATGAGGGGTGAAATAGGGCTGCTGGGCTGTGACAGCGGTGAGGCTTTGGACACCGAATTTCATGTTGGCTCCTACCTGCTCAGACCTCTGCTCTCCTGGATTTGGCAGTGCAGCATTTTGCTCCTGAGAAGCTCCTTGTTCATCCACCCTAAGAGCTGCATCTATTTCAGTCTGGGTGGTGAATTGCTGCCACTGGTGTCGGGGGGAGCTGCTTTCCCTTCTCAAATGCCTGCACTCATAATGGCTCTTTTGTAGGTTTGTCTACGTGTGGGACACCACGTCCAGGAGGATTTTGTACAAGCTGCCAGGCCACGCTGGGTCGGTGAATGAACTGGCTTTCCATCCGGAGGAACCCATCAGTAAGTCCTCCCCACCTCAAGTCAGCTGGGGAGGTTTCAGGGCTGGCTGAAGTGCTGATCCTCTGGAAAATGGCCCCAAAATTGCCTGTGGCCCTGAGCCCCAAGTATCAGAGAAATTTAGGGGTAGCAGACTCCTGCCTGCTCCTCTTCCATGGATGGGAGCTGGGCTGGGTGTGCCCTGGGGTCCTGGGCTGAGCACCCCAAAGCTGTGGGAAGCAGAGGTGGTGATTTGTGCTGCAGGCTTTGGCCCCATTCCAGAGGTGTCCGGTGGGTGGCACCACGTATCAGCACTGGGTCAGACGATCCTCATGGGGGCTTTTTCAGAACCCTTTTCACCACCGTGTGTTAACTAAGAGCAGGTTTCATCTCGGTGTCTCGGCACAGCGTGCAGCCCAGGCAGGGCCACAGGGTGCTCTTTGTTTCTATGGAAACGCTTGCACCATCGGCCAGGTCACTGTGTTGCTCCAGCCAAAAATTGACAGGAGACAACCCCGAAGTGAAGCCAAGAGCTCGGTTGTGCCGGGGATGACAGTCTCTGCAGCAGGGCAGTGAGTTATGGGTTCGTTCCTTGGTTATTCATTGCCCTGTCTTCAGATTGGAGACCGTGCTGGAGGAGGGGAGCGAGCTCTCCTCCCCGGTTTGGAGCAGATTGTTTGCGATTGTGTTCTGCTGAGCTCCTCTTTTGTGAATCTCAGCTAAAAATAAAAATTAAAAACCCATCCAAGCGTTGCATACGAGTTATGCAATTGATTTCTGTTAACGTCTGGGAACGTTAATCTTGTGAACCGCTGCACCCGCTCCGCAGTGTTCGTCTGCATGGGAGGCTGCACAGGGAGCAGCGAGGTGACAGACACCAGTCTGCGGTTCGTGTAGACATCCCCCACATCTCTCCTGGACTCAAATGAAGCCGTTGTTGGTGTCAAGAGCAGTGCTTCTGGGTCATTCTTTTCACCCTCGTGTCTTGAAACCCCTGAGGAGCCTTTTCTGAGTGCAGGTGGTTCGGTTGTGTAGTTGGGTGCCAGCTGCGTTGTTGCCTGTTCTGGTAAAATCATAACGCCCTGGCGAGGCTTTCCTGGCCAGCCTGTGCCCTCTAGCGGCCTGCAGTCCTGCAATGCTCCTTGCAATGAAAATAACGCTTTAGGACGCTTGAGAGCGTTAACAGCTTGTTTATGTGCCTCTCTTTACCGTTTTAGTGCTCAGACATCACAGGCACTACGCTGTTACGCCTGCCTTGGGACAGGGGAACGGCAGCCGCAGTGCAGCGTGTGATGAGGTGTCAGAGCAGTAATTCTGTGAAGTGTTTTTGGGGAGCAAATGAAATTTGCCTGTCTAGATGGCTTACAGCAAGCAAAAGGGGTCGTTCACTTGGGATGATGTGTCGTTAGTGGAGGTCTCAAACCGTTGTGTTTAACTCCTGTTTCTGTCCCTTTCCCCTCCTCTCTCCCGCAGTTCTCTCGGCGTCCAGCGACAAGAGGCTGTACATGGGGGAGATCCAGTGAAGCTGGTGATGGGATTCGTGCCCTCGCAATCCTCCATTGACGGCAGTGGTGTTGACTTGCGTCTCACCGGTGCACTCGTGGCAGTGGGAACAGACTGAAGCAGTTTGGTGAGACAAGCCGCCCTCTCGCAGGCTGTAGCGCCTGCGTGGTCTCACTGTACAGCTTTTATCCACCCCCCTTCTTTGGGGAGGAGGGAAAATTTGGAATTGAAAGGATTTTCATTTTGGCTGTACCACTGACTATTAAACCCTTACCTAGATCACTTGAAATTGGTAAAATTTGTTTAAACCCACATGTGGCTTGTATATTCCCTGTCGAGTTTCTCTTGTGTTTTTTTATACGGTCAGAACTGAAATAGATAGCTTTTTACAAGAACTGTGTGGATGGGATTTATTGTTGTGCTTTACTTTTCTGTTGTACAGTGCTAAATCAAGGCCCTCACTCATATAACCGGGGGAAACCATAGACGTTAACTTCAGAAGAGCGGCTTATTTTTTATTCATGGCAATAAAAATGACCACACTTGAAATAATTATTGGGCTACCACTGAATCCTATCTTCATGTTTTGAGTAAAATCCAGCCTCCTGCTATAAATAAATGTACAGGGAGTGAGATCTCTGTGGCAGGCATGGTGTGCTCAGAGCTCAGCAGCGGAGGAGCCGGACGGGCTGTGTCCCCTCTCTGTTCCTGCTCACTGTGCCCCAGGGTCAGGCCAGGAGGGAATGGTCCTCACTGGGGTTTTTGACAAGGCTGAAACCACTGCAGGTCGTTGGCTGATGTTCATTAAGTTGCCATGAAAAGCATGTGCTGCATCTCTCTTCTGAATGTGTCCACCTCAGCTTTCAGCCTTTTTTCCTCCCCGTTTTTCCCCCCATTTGCTGCCCTGGCTCAGGCTGGATAAGGGATTTCTCACCTCTCGCTGCCTTTCAGCTCAGCTGGGACAATGGAGCATGGACGTGATGCCCCCACCCCAGCAGTGCCGTGCCCAGGTCTGTCCCATGCAGTCTCGGCCAGTGTTTGACCAGGAGGAATCTGCTGCAGCCGCCAGGTATTTTAAGAGCCAGGAAATCAGCACAATTTGTGTGGAAAAAAGGGAAGTGCAGAGTCCCCTTGAGAGTCCCTGCTCCTGCTTCCTGCATCATCGCAGCCAAAGTGACTTTGGGTGCAGACAAGGGTGGACGGGAAGGCACGGATGGGTTTAACCCCAGCTGTGATCTGAACACAGCCAAGTCACCCTTCAGCTGAAGTGGCAGGCAGAGAAAGCTGGAGGTAGGGGGGCATTTTATTTTTAACTCTGCAAGGTATTAAATAACGTGCCCTGAAACGTGGGTCAGTGGGAGCTGACACTGCAGCTGGGAGCGCTGTGATTTGGGACGGGCTTCCCTGGAGCCAGCAACATGGGAACCCTACACCTGGGGACTGACACCACGCTTCTGTCCCCTCACTGAGGGGTAAGGAGGGTGCAAGCTCGTGGATTTAGGGCTTAATTATAATCTTGTTATAATCCTCAAGGTTTTATGGTTTTATTTGAATATAAGGCCAAGTGTCAGAGGAAAGAGAGACTTTTGAGGCTGACCCTGCAGTTTACTGAATCTTCCTTGTTTAAAAGAAGAAAAAAAGGTGGCTCTTTCCTAATTCCCAATGCCAGAGCCTGCAGGGGAGCCAGGGAGGGGCATTGATCTGCCTCAAGTCCTGGAGGGTTTTGTTGAGCAGTGGTTGCTGCACCCAGGGGTCCTGCAGAGCCTGGAGATCTGGGTGCTCAGCAGCCGGCAGCTCCCAGCATTGAGCCATGGGGGCTGGATGGATCCGTACCCCTCCCACGGGCGACCGGGTGCCACCCCCCTCTGCCTCTGACACCGTCAGCACGGACGGCCGAGGAGCTGTGACCCAGATCGGGGAAATGATCTGGATTAACGCTAAATCCCCTGGCCCCGAGGGAGCAGCCGGGGCAGAGTGAGCCCAGTGCTGGGGCAGGCGGCCAGTTTGCTTTGAGGGCATCACCCAGCTCTGTGCTCCACTGCCACCTGAGCACCAGCAAAGTCTGCAACAGTGGGTGCCCAGGCAGGTCCTTGTGCTCATCCCAGCACTCTGAGAGCAATCTCTGTTCCCCAGTGCTGAGGAGTTGCGGATCAAAGAAATCTCTGACGGTGATGGAGGGTGGGGAGGGAGACGCGAGCGGTCACAGCTCTGAGCCACCGCTGCCCGTCACCGTCCCCAGTGAAGGCCGGAGCGATACCCGCCCGCCTGTGGGCCTTGTGCCAACGTTTTGGCCCCTCGGGAGAGACTGGAAGCTGGTTTTGGAGAGGCACTGATGGGACATGCGCTCAGTGGATCCTAACTATGGCCCCATCTGGACAATTTGGGGATTTAATGTAATTTGCTCTGGGGGTGGTACCTGGAGCTCAGCAGGTTCAGTGCTCTGCAGAGACCATTGGGCATTGCTGGGCACCGCCAGCTCTGCGCCACCTTCCCCCAGGCTCAGCCTTCCCCTGGGCTTGCTGCTGGGCTGTGGGGGCTGCCAGCAGAGCCAGGGACCCACCATGGGGGGATGGCACCCATGACAGGGCTGGCACAGGGTCATAGCACACGTATCCTTGCTGTGCTGCAAGGCTGTGCCCTGCGTGTGCATACAAGTACAGACATGCATGCATGGCCACACGTGTGCACACAAGAGTACGCACATGCACGTGTGTGTGTGCACATACATGTACACGTGCAAACACCGTGCACATTGGTGTGTGCACGCATACACATGCACATAGAAACGCTCTCACACGCACACAGGTGCCAGCATGGAGCACTCACACACAGGTGCACGCACACGCTCACGGCCACGTCAGCCACAAATGTGCCCACATGCGTCCCCCACGGACACTGCCAGGGTCAGCACCACCGCCAGACCTCGGGGACAGGGCAATGCCCTGCACTGACAGCAGAGCATCCGGGGGAAGTTTTGGGCTGGGCAGCCTCAGGGCTGGTTTCCCCCGGTTTCCCCCAGTTTCCCCCTGGTTTCTCCCAGTTTCCCTCTGGTTCCCAGTCACTGCTGGCTGCACCCGAAGGAGTGCGGGCCCCTCTTGGCTCCCATCCCACGCCGGAGCCGTGCCAGCTCCAGGGCATCGCAGCAGCAAACCGTTCAAGGCATAATCCGAGAGCGCAGAGAAAATTGTTTTCTTAACCAGGTTTATTCCTCCAAGGGAGGTACTTGCTTGAGAGAGTTCCACTGTAAATTAAAGCTGTCCTGGGATCCAGATCAGAGCCCTCTGTACAATAGGGCTGCTCTGGTGAGGGAGCTGCTGGGTGCTCCTCAGCCTTTCGGGGGGGGCTGGCAGTGACCCCCTGCCATGGCCCTGCATGGCTGTCCCCACCCCTGACCCATCCCAGTTCTTGGCCCTTTGGCAGCACCAGCATTGGCAGAGCGGTCCCAGGCGGAGGCGATGCGGTACCCAGAGCACCCCGTGGTGCTGCGGGCCAGATCCTGCCCTGGGTGCTGGTAATGGGGGCGTCATCGGGAGGTCCCCACTCAGCCATGGGTGACCCTGGCCCTGCCACCCCCGTCCTTCCCACCTTTTCCCACTGCTGCTCCGAGGCTTCTAATGAATTTTGATAGTTACAATAAGCAAGTGATAATTTCTAAAAGAATGGAAAACAATTATTTGCTCTGTTGGGGGATTAGATGATAGTTAGTCTCTATTTAATGGAAAACTAATTAAATTACATGAGCAAGTGAATAGGAGTTTTTCGTTAATTATGAATTTTGCAAGCTACAAAGGCTAAATGATGATGGATTCTGTAATCTGCCGCGCTTTTCGCTAGACGCCGAGATAAGATGACAACTCGGAAAGAATGGCGTGAACGCATTTTAATTTCTCTATCGATTCAATAACAGCCGGCTGAACAGCGATCCATTAACGGTGATCCGCGGGAGCTGACGTTGATTGGCAGGCGGGCGGCTAATTATGTTAAAACTGGGGCAAGGTTGGTTAAATAGCTGCGTGTCGGCTGTTGGGGGTGGCTGGGAACTCCCGTTGGTTTGGTTTGCTCCATGCGGGTGGCGGATGCCCCGCATGGGGTGACACGAGGTGTGCTCGGGGCTGAGTCGCTGCTGTTTGGGGCTGTTCCCATGTGAAGGTTGGGGTCCTTGACTCCAGGACCAGGGCATCCCTGACCCCAGGGCTGTGATATTCCTGATTCCAGGGCTGTGATATTCCTGGATCCAAGGCTGGGATATTCCTGGTTCCAGGGCTGGAGCATCCCTGACCCCAGAGCGGGAGCATCCTTGTCCCTGGGACCGTGATGTCCCTGTCCCCAGACTGCTCTGTCCCAGCACAGCCTGGAGGAGCCATGTCCATCCCCATCACCTTCCTCCCACTGTCAGCGCTGGTTAATTAGGGGCTCATTAAGATGAACCCCAGAGATGTCGTGGCTCTTCAGCCAAATTCCAGCCCCACTTCAGGCTCTGGAGGGATTTAGCCTGAGCCAAGCGCAAACAGCAGCCCCGTTAAGGGGAATGACCCGACCAGCTTAATTACACACGACCTGTGCCGATGAGTTGCACATATTTACCCCTCACTGATTTACATAGCGCATTGGAATAAACAGCTTTTCCCCATCACCATAACCCAGATGGATGGGGTGCCTTCGAAGATTTCTTCGCCAATAAACACGCCAAAAATGATCATTTAGTCTTGCTCTGGTGCCTCAGTGGCGTTAATTACTGCTGAGTGGGTGAGTGGTGCTCACCAGCTCCTTGACTTTGTCTGGGCAGCAGCTCCCACGGGCTGGCACATCCCCACTGGCCTCTCCCAGGACATCCTTGAGCGGAGTTTCGGTGCTTTGGTATAAATTCACCCCCCAAAATTCACCTGCTGAAGCATCACCAATAGTTTCAGCACAAAAGAAGGAAAAAAAATCAACCCCAAGAGCGCAGGAGGAGAAAAAAAAAGGGGGGGAAAACTCCCAACCCCAATGGCACGGCTGCAGAACTATGATGTTCCCTGAGTGTATTCTATTAACATAAAACCTCCTTTTTTTCATAGTTTTGCCTTTTTTAAGGCAGCAAACACCATTCCCAA